CAGTATTGTGACACACAGGTGCCCCAATATTCACCCCTCTCATGTAATTAGGATATGTTTTGTACAAAGTATGCCTTGTGAGATATCATTCTAAAAGTATTGATCTGCTAGACATTAATATCTTGTTGGACTGTATGTGCTATCGTTGTATGTGAAGTTATGAAGTTATGGCTATGTATGTGTTACTGAAACATGTTGTGAGGTTGAAAACACTCACAAGCAGCCTTTCAGGTACAACAGTAAAAAAACCAAACAATGTTAATGGCTTACTGAGGAAATGCACACAAGCACAAGTATTACCCCAGGAACTGTGTACAATAGAAATCTCTCAGAGATAGCACTACACAATGGGAGCTGTTTGACCCAGGTCACAGCAAAAGAGCTTTCCAGCAAGTGGGAAAAAAATATAAAAGGGGGAAAAGGACAGCATAAGGGGAACTCGCTCTCCCTACAACAACACACCTGGAAACACCTGAGGAATAAAGACTGAACGGGGGGAAGTGATGTTCCCAGGCTAAAGGGATTTCTAGTCTCTGTATGAAAACCTGGGAAACCCAAGCTGCAAAGCCAAGGCAGCTTGTGCCTTAAGAATCTGCCAGTCTGTTTATCACTCAGGGTGAGGATTTGCTAATTCATATCCTACCTATCTAGTATATTAAGCTCAGTTTGTGGTTTTGTTTATTTACTAGGTAATCTGCTTTGATCTGTTTGCTATCACTTATAATCACTTAAAATCTATCAGTTTCTAGTTAATAAACTTATTTTATATTTTAATCCAAACCACTGTGCATTTGACTAAGGTGTCTAGGAAAAATCTCAGCTTGGTTACCACTAGTGTGTATGGTCCTCTTTACATTGAGGGAGAGGCGGACTGGGTTTAAACCATATACTGGCCAGATTTGACCAGGGAAGGATGGTACTGCTCTGGGACCCTAGGCTAAGTTCCCTCTAAGCTGCGTGGCTGCGCAGCTGTGCAGTTGCCTATAAAGTGCCATGTAGGCACTCAGGGCTGCGGCGGGGAGAGATGCCTATAGTGCCCCTCCCCCGCCCCTGACCCAGCCCAGCCCCAGACCTGCCACGACTGGGGATAGGCACCCCTCCTCTGGCCCCGACCCAGCCTGACCCCGAACCTGCTGTGGCTGGGGGACAGGCATCCTTCCCCTGGCCCTGACCCAGCCCGGCCCTGAACCTGCTAGGGGACAGGTGCCCCTCCCCCCCAGCCAGGTGCTGCTGCAGGGAGAGAGGGCTGGGGGGAGTCCTCTCTCCCCACCATAGCCCTGGGGAGCCCAACTGTACCCCAAACTCCTCAGCCCCACCTTAGGGCCCACACCTCCAGATGGCACCTTCACCTCCCCAAACCCCAACCCTCTCTGCCCCAGCCTTGAGCCCCTCATCCCTGGACCCACCCCAGAGCCCACATCCCCAGCCAGAGCTCACCTCCCCTGAACTCCAACCCTCTTCCGCAGCCCTGAGCCCCTCATCCCCCAGCCCCATCCCAGAGCCCACACCCCCTGCACCCCAACACTCTGACCCCAGCCCTGAGCCCCCTCCAACACGCCGAACCCCTCGGCCCCAACCCGCTATATGAATTTTGTTATG